AAGCATTTTGAAGGACTGTTACATGGAAGAAGGATTAAGACTTTGAATTTGGCTAATCTTATTTTGTGTCAGTCTGCTTTGTGTAATATTACAGCACATCCAAGAGGTCATGACTGGAATGAGAGGTAGGAGTTCTTTAAGCTTTATGGAGTCTTCGGTATCATTCAGAACAGAAAAGTGCGAAGACTGGCGCTTCTAAAGGTTCATCAGGTAGAGTGAATGAGTGAAAGGGAGTGTAGGAATATGGGAACTGGTGGCAACTTGAGAGCAATGTCCTCTCTAAAGACTTTCAAGTGCGACTAAAGACAAAACCACAGCCCTGTGACAAAACCACAACTGCTGTGTGTTGTGTCTGGCCTAGGAGTGGCCAGTTATGATCCCCTGATCTTACCTAATCCTCCTCTTTTTTTTTTTTCAGGTGAGGAAATGGGTACCAAAAGTCACAAAGTGTGTGAGATAATGAAAGGTGTAAATGTGTGCATGTATATCAAAACACATCATATTTAATGAAAGAAATTAACATCCACACATTTGTACTTTCGTACAATTTTGGGTAATATATAATTTTAAGCTGTTTACAAATAACATGTAATGCTTCAAATATTACATAATGTTGATAATACATTTCTAGCAGAAATAAATATATTGCACTTAAAAAGAACTTCATTAGATGTTACTTTATAGTATTAGGCTTATAACTTCCTTTTTCATAAAACATTTCCCACGCCCTTCCCACCACCCCCAGCACACACACTTCATTACAGTGACTGTTCTCACGCAATTCGTTAAGCAAATGAACACAGCAAACAATAGAACGGTGATAGAGTCTACTAAAGAGGCTAGATCCAATTTTATCCTTTAGGAAATAGAAGACCTTCTTTTAGGTTTCTGAAACTAAGAAAAACAACAACTAAATAAAGTATTTTAATGTACCAGAAGTAAAATACAACAAGCTGTATTTTTTGTCCAGATGTACTATTTCACCAGAATGTTTTTATTTTCTTATTATCAGGGGAGGAGGTTGGAATTATCTAAGGGAGAGACAGAGAAATAAGGGTCAGAGAATACTTATGGATTATTTGTCTATCAAATATTTATAAATGAACCTTTGCATATTTAAGCATGCTGAAGAAAGCTAAGTATTGGAATATTTTATAACTGGCATGGAATAGTAGTGAAGAAAGAATGTTATGATTTCCTAAAATTTTAAGAGTTTTTAACCTTCCCTTTGCTTGTTTACATAAAATCCTTACATTCTGAAATAATATAAAAATTTATAAAATCCATCCTCCATCCAAGCCTAGCTCTCTAAAGGAGCCAGCTGAAAATTTTTTCTGTCCAGTGCTTCATTTCTGTCCAGTCTAAATTTATAGTATAATATTGTTTTGTTTGTAGTAATTATCAATTCCATACACATTTAATAATGAAAACAGTTTTCCTTACTTGGTCAATGGAAGATTGAGTAAAAATATTGTTCTTCTTGCCATATTTGATCCTGTACATTACATAACTGACTTTTTGAACTTTAGTTACTGAGTCATGGCTTGAGTTTGACTGTGTTTTTAATGAGGTGGTAAAGTCACTCCATTTACCTTGTTTGAAGCTCAGTTTTCTTAGTATAATTCAGCTTAAATATAAGCAGGACAGCCTGAAAAGCTAATGTGAAATTCAGAATTGGGATAAATATCCTAATATCTCTATGAAAAATTCATAGGCAGTATGGGATGAAGATGCTTTGCTTCTAAGAATACTTATTCTTGGGCTTTTAGAGGGTTTCCTTTTTATCCCCCCAGGGTGGGGCATTGTGGCTGGAGAAGTGCAATTACAGAGATGTGGATAAGGATGGAGAGAGGAGGTTTTGGAATATCCCACAAAGTCAATGTGACTCTTACACAGGGTGTTTAGTAGATGATGCATCATCATCAGGAAGTGTCTTAATATCTCCTACTCTGTGCCCACCTGCTAGAAATGGTGGTAGACCTTTAAGACAACATACCATTGTTATAAACTCAAAAGGACCAGCAATGTAATATAAATTCATTAATGTAGACCTTGTTACCTAATAATTTGTGATATGTTGGATACAAACTGGATATGTTTATCTTTATACTGCCAAGGGTGGACAGAGGAGGGGGGAAGACTTACTAAGTAAAAGAAATAAATGAGCTTACTCAGAATTATTGATAAACATTTTCAAAACATATCGCATATGTAGAATCTACTAAGTTATGAATTAATTCTTTTGGGTTAGATAAAGCCATTCTGGTAGTGCCGCTTTTTAGCAGCACCATACGTTAGCCAGGCTTTTTAATACTGTAATATACCTGGGGGGGACCCTGAATTTATTCCAAATATACCATAACTTATGCTCTTTATTATTCAGTTGGCTTTGTCCCTAGTTATCTAGTTCTTGCAATTGTTTTTGGTAAAATAGACTTTAGAGTTTTAAATGTTAAATACCCAAGGGGTTAAGTAATAATCAACAAGCAGAAGAGCTCAGAAGAACCCTGGTGGGGTCATATATCTACCCCTGGTTTCCATGACTAGAGTGACTGACCAGGTTAAGCTCCATTTCACCTGTGCTGCTTCTTTCTTGTTCAAATAATACCAGATACTTAAAAAGTGTATCCAAGAATTTCAGGTGTGATTTTCCAAGAGCATGCTTTGGTGTCTTAGTCTTTGCTCTTCTCTAAGCGTGCTATTTATTTTTAGTCTTATGTTGATTAATTACAAAATAAAGTTATGAATTCAGGACGTACTAGCATAAAACCATATTTAACAAAAACATATAAACCTACTTTTGAGACACACCAATTGGGAAAAATGTCAAAATAGTATTAAAATGATCCTTTCATGCTTGTTGAAAAGAAAATTCAGATATGGATTTGCTTTAGTAGACCAGTCATTTATTAGGGTATTAAGTAGTATCATGTAAAATAGTATTTACTTTTGTTATTCTTGCTTTAAGTAGCAGTACTCTGTATTAAAAGCACTGACAACAGGCCAACTATTAAACATTAAAATCCCATCCTAAGCTCTGTGGATATGTACTTTAAACATTATGCATAACTACTTTTTTAAAGAAACGCACACCTGTGCTGTGTCTGAAAAAAAACTACCTGTGGATACTATAGCATAACATGGAAGAAGTTAGAAATAAGCCTACCGTGTCTGCCATAGGACTTTGAGATGTTTGGTTAACGCAGCTGGTGCTTCTCCATAACCAAACCTTGGAATACAGTGGAGAAAGTCAATTGCAAGGTCCAACAGTAGCATCACTTAGACAGGTTGTGCCAATTATACCTTGTTTCACAGGCTGGAAATGCCCAAGAAAGTCATTTGATATGGAAAAGCCTAACATTAAAACAACCAAATAAAATCCCACTTGAGTTTGATGTGATAAGTATATTACATTTGACTTCCAAATACACCTCTACTCTCAGCAGCAAGATTTCCCATCTCTTTGAACAGATTCAATACTTTTGTAGTCAGAATGAAGTAGAATGAATATTACATTAAAAATTAAGAATATTGGGGAGCTTTGTGAAGAAGACAGGTTAAATTCTATAGCTAGAATGCATTATATCTAAAATTGAAGGACTACAAATTTCATTAAACCTCTGTTATTAGGGAAATGAACTGTTGCAAAATGCCAAATGTACTACCCTGATTGTAAATGCTTAGATATATATGGCTCAAAAATAATACAGAAATTATATATAACTACAATATAATTACTATTATAAATATTAAAAGAAGGCTTAAGAAGATAGCAAGAGTTGAAAATAAAGTGGATAAATCCTTTAGATTTACTTATAAGCACTTCCAATGTTTCAGTCAGGGTGTCATTGAGTTAACATGCAATTTCATGCACCTAGAAAAATGGTAGAATTACTGAATGTAATACAGTGAGAAAAAAGGGCCAATCAGATAGATGGACACATACCTATTCGTGACCAAAGGTTAAGTGGTGGCTATATGGGCATTTAGAATGGTCATTCATAAATCCTTGTCAGTCAGTGGCAGCAGCTAATCAAACAACAAAGCAGATTTACTGAAAATGAGAATTTGGCCTGGTGCATTTTAACATCCATAAAGTCTCCCAAAGCTGAAGTAAAAATGAAGGGAGCTTTGGTACCCACGGCAGAAAAATTCCTTTTAGAATAGGGCAACCATCTTTTTATTGTAGTGAAAGAAAGTCTCATGCGTCAAGGTGTAGAGACTTTAAAGTGTCCCTCAGTGAATAAATCAGCAGTGTATTTAGAATGCAGCCCAGAAAAATAAAACCTCAGTTTTATTCGTATATGGAAGATTTTTCCTACATAAATGGCAAGTAATTGCAAGAAAGAGAATTAGAAAGAAAGAAAAGACTGTGAAAAAGAACTTGTCAGGTACTGGCCCTTCAATATTACAGAAAGAACTTTGTGACGTCATTACCACCTATTCATCCACAAATTAGGATGCATTAGCATTATCTCAGCTCCTTCCCCAGCAAACTAACACAAAGAAAAACTAAACATGCTTAAGCTACAGCACTACAAATACTTCTCTATTGGCTCTCATTTCTATAGGGAGAAATGGACTTCAGTTAGTCATTATGCATTATGGTATGTTATATAGTATTGCCTCTTTGAAGATTCTTTTAACCTGTGGAAAGTAAAAAGAAAACCTATACATGTTGACTTTATACATTACTGCATTGACACAGCATTTTTAACCACTAGGAATAATGCATCTTAAGATTCATCTGCCTTGTATTATTACACTTTCTTGGTACATTGATATCCAATAGTTGCAGGACTTAGGCTGGCTAAGAACTTTACACTGATTCTCTCTCAAAGCCAAAAGATGTCCCCCACTACAGATGAATCCTGGTCCATGGTGCTTTCCCTTAGTGGTTGGTTTTATTGTGAGTCCAGCTCTCCTCTCTAATAGGTCCCATGTCTCCTGGAGAGCCCCGGCTCCAACACCCCACATCCCACCCACCCAACCCTGTCTTATATTTCCATACCCATTTGCACATTCTGGATCTAGATTCTCCTATTTTTAGAAGAGTCATACAAATGGCGTCATCACAGCAGAGGAATGGCGCAGTCCTTGGATAGCAGCATAGGGCCCCTGCTGAAAGTAGTGATGATACCGGGGCATGTGGAATGAGGGGAATGTTGGGCCACTCCCTTGCATGGAGCTGGCAATGGCCGATGGGGTTAGAGGCATCCCAAGTCGGCTATATGGTGGCAGAGAGCCCTGTATAGGGTGAGGAATGGGTGTCGCTATGGATGCTGTGCTGGTGCCAAGAGCAGTCAGGGACTGTGGGTGCTGAAATCCAGGAAAACTGGATGAAGATGATACCCAGGAACTGAGAGACAAATTATCAGATGTTGTAAAGGCTGATCCTGAAAGGAAAAAAAAAAGTCTCATTAGACTGGAAACTCTACTCCAGTGTGCAAATCAAGAATTACATTATCTGAACAAATACCGTATGCTAACACATATATATGGAATCTTAAAAAAAAAAAAGGTTCTGGAGAACCTAGGGACAGGACAGGAATAAAGACGCAGACGTAGAGAATGGACTTGAGGACACGGGGAGTGGGAAGGGTAAGCTGGGACGAAGTGAGAGAGTGGCATGGACATATATACACTACCAAATGTAAAATAGACAGCTAGTAGGAAGTAGCCGCATAGCACAGGGAGATCAGCTCATGCTTTGTGACCACCTAGAGAGGTGGGATAGGGAGGGTGGGAGGGAGACACAAGAGGGAGGAGATATGGGGATATATGTATATGTAAAGCTGATTCACTTTGTTATACAGCAGAAACTAACACAACATTGTAAAGCAATTATACTCCAATAAAGATGTTTAAAAAAAAAAAGAATTACATTATCTGTAAGGGTCAATTTTATTTTTAAAATTATGTAATAGATCTATAATTTAAAAGAGAGACAGGTCAATCATGAGGCATATCTAGCTTTCCACACAAGAATATATCATTTATACCATATATGGAAAAGAGAATTTACTGACTTAATAGATGGCCTGCATACTCCCTGAGAGTCGCCAAAACACTAGCAACCTGCCTGAAGGTAATGACCTGATTCCCTTTAAAAGACTTCCAAATAGCTGATATCCATCCTAACCTCTGTAGCATCCCTATAAGTAAGGCTGGACAGACAAGCCTCAACAAAGCTACCTGGTTTCCAAAGCCACTATGAAAACCCACAAGACTGTTTTTCTTTTTTTTTTCTTTAGCTTCTGTAACTCTTTTCTTTTGGAAATAATGAGAACATTTACTATGTTGATTACATTTAAGACAGATACACAAAATCCAAACACATTTTAATATGCCAGCTCTACTCAGCATAGCTGAGTTATGTGGAAACAAAAGCACTGTCAAAAATAAAGCATAAATACTTAGAAATTACTCTGAAAAGAAATGCATGATACTTATTTGAAATTTTTCACACGACTCTATTGAAATAGAGATGTAAGGAAAGATTTTAATAATTGGAGACACATGCCATATTTTTGGATGAAAAATAAAAATTTTTTAAAAGTCATTTATTCCCAAATTAATTTATTGGTTGAGTGTAAAGCCAGTGAAATGCCAATGTTTTTTCCCTCTTCAACTCGATTCTCAAAATTATCGGGACAAATAATGACAGAATTTAAAAATTTTTTAAATTATAACAAGGATAGATTTTCCCTACCAGATATAAAAATACGTTATCATGTTACAAAAACAAAATAATGCATTTATGAAAATAGCATAGTACTGAGCAAGATGAGAAGCCACATCAATAGAAAAGAACAAATTGTCACAATATAAAATAAAATATATATGTATACTGTATCATATATTTAGTATATAATAATATACTAAGTAATAATGGTAATATACATCATTACAAACTATCAGGAATGACAGCTTAGCGTCCATAATATTTTATTAGATATTTGACAAGTTGCAAGAGTAAGTTTTTCTTATATCACAGTATCCAGAAGTTTAAACAAAATTTGACACTGAATTTTCCAGTTGTATAATTACTAGTAGCTCATCTGGACTTAGCTATGAGGCATCATATGTTCTGACTGTTTATGCTATTCCATATCATGGACATAAAAATATGACAGAGGACTCTCCCCATGTGAACATCCCTGTGCCTGGGCACCCCCCTCTGGTTTCTTTTCTCTGGCCTCCCAGATGCAGAGGGCTCCTCTATGAACATCTGCAGCAAAGGAACTTTATAGTATTCCCCTACTCTCACCACCTGGGCCACCGTCTCTACGCAATGTGTTCACTAGGAGAATCTTCTTTTTAAAAGTGTTTTCCATTCTAGTCATTGATCCTAATAAGATATTCCTGATATAAGTAAAACAGATATATTCCCTGATTTTCAGATTGTCAAACTGAGGTTGAGAAAGACTAAGGGGCCACCCCCAAAGTCCAAATAGCTCTTTGGTAGTAGATCACAGACAAATAACTCCTGGGCTCTGACTCAGAGGCTCAATGTCCTTTTACTGGAAAACAAACTACAGGAAGGCTTTAGGCAGCATAATCACTTAAGATGCAAAGACAAAATAATGATCAGCCTCAGGCTGTCCCTTCCTGAAGAGGCTTCTGAAATACTCTGGGGCAGTCTCTTCCCTGAGGGCTAGGAGCCTCATCACCTCCCTGTCCAGCAGTTGCATAGCCCAGAAGCGGTCTTACCTCGATTTTGTGTTGTCTGAACCTCATCCCCCAGCACATCGTCTTCTCCTCCATAGGTACGGATGGGTGAGCGGGCATAGGAATGCTTTTGAATCAGGCTCTCCACACTTTCCCTAGATTAGAGAGTGACACATCCTGAGTAAACTAAAAAGCTAAGTACTCAGAGAAGAAGAGGAGTCTTAAAGATGATTTACCAGTCAGTAAAACCATTTTATCAGCCAAAAGACCACCACTTCAGTAAAGAATCCGCCTTCCAATGCAGGGGCTGCAGTTTCTATCCCTGGTCGGGGAACTAACTAAGATCCCACATTCCGCAGGGCAACTAAGCCCACATGCCACAACTACTGAGCTCACTCATGCGTCTCAACTAGAGAGCCCGCGTGCCGCAAACTACAGAGCCCATGCGCCACAACTAGAGAAGAGAAAACCCACAGGCCACACGTTTCTAGTGTTCTAGAAAACTAGAGAGAAGCCCGAGCACTATAACGAAGAGCCCGCACATCGCAATTAAGACCCGACACAGCCCAATAAATAAATAAATTAATTTTAAAAATATTTTAAAAAAATAGCACCACTTCAGGGAAAGATAACATTCAAAACATGTACGTTTATTTCATTGTAGATGCCTCAGAAACATGACCTCAGGCATATAAATACAAGAAACCTAACTGGACAGGATAAGGACAATTCCCTGAAATTCTACAAAATTAGGGTCAAAGGTGAACAAGGAGCTATAAAACCTGACCATAGGAATATGGAATTTAATGATGTGAAAAAATGACTGGTGAATTTACTACAAACAGCTGCAATCCTGTGACTTCATTAGCTAATGAATACAAAACAAATACTCACCTGATAACGAACTGCACTGATTGAACATCTGATAAAATACTGGCCCAAAGTTCAGAATATCATTAGTCATAAAAAAGACTCAATGTTCACTAATAAACCTAGTAAGTGCATAGAGTATATGACAATATGGGTAGTATGGATAATGGCCACTTTGAGATTCTTGTTGCTTTAAGACTGAAAATTATGGAAAACATATGAAGGACACATAAAGGGCCACTAGGGAATTTAAGCCCCCAAATAAATTGGTGCATTGTCTTTGTAGATGGTCTTTCTCTTGCAATATAGTCTAAAAACTAAAGAGTGTTGTTAACTTTAAAAACAAAAATTATTTTGGTATTTGCCAGTTCAACCTGCTGCCATTAAGAGAGAAAAACACCGGATAAGAGGTTTTTTTAAAAAATTAATTAATTAATTTTTTTGGCTGCATTGGGTCTTCGTTGCTGTGCACAGGCTTTCTCTGGTTGCGGTGAACAGGGGCTACTCTTTGTTGTGGTACATGGGCTTCTCATTGCGGCGGCTTCTCTTGTTGCGGAGCACAGGCTGTAGGCACACAGGCTTCAGTAGTTGTTGCATGTGGCCTTCAGTAGTTGTGGTACGTGGGCTCAGTAGTTGTGGCTCGCTGGCTCTAGAGCGCAGGCTCAGTAGTTGTGGCGCACAGGCTTAGTTGCTCCACGGCATGGGATCTTCCCAGACCAGGGCTTGAACCCGTGTCCCCTGCATTGGCAGGTGGATTCTTAACCACTGTGCCACCTGGGAAGCCCCCAGCTAGAGTTTAGCCAAATGATTTCTTTGCCAAAAATGGAAGTTGGTAACAGATTAGCTTATACAGTATACATCTCCAAGAATAGCTGTGGCCTAAAGACCAACACCAAATTAACCACCAAAGGACAAAAAAAGGATTTTTAAAAAGTGTGTTGAATAAAGGACAAACCGAACACCAAATTTCATCTTGAGAGGATAAGGAAAGCAAATAAAATGTCATAATAACTTTTCAAAATGTAATACTTGTCAACATTTCACAGAGATATACAGACTTTACCTGTGAAAAAATACTAATAGTGAATTTGGTGTTCTAGAAAGCTTGTATACTCATACAGATTAAAGCATTGTGTCATATAGCATGCAAATGAAGACTTAAAGGTATGCCTAAAAGAAAAATTAATTCTAACAACTATTCAAGTTATATCTTTACTCCTAAAAGGTTTTAAAATAAGCATACAGTACCACCTCATGTAGCCAAAATCACTGGGATCAGGCAAAATCCAGATCCAGTGGATTAACATGTAGGTGTTTAAAAAAATGAGGCCATTCCATATTTATTGATATGGAATGATCACCAAGACATATTAAGTGAAAAAAGTTAAGTACAGAACAGTGTATAAAGTTTGCTACCATTTGTGAATTTAAAACAAGAAATATGTATGTTTGTATATGCACAGTATTTCCAGAATGTTCCAATTTCCAGAACAGGAAGCTGCGTAGAATAGGTTGTCTCTGTAGTGTGGAACTAGGGACCTACTGGAGCAATGATTCCCAAATTTGTCCCAAATACACTTGAGTTACCTAAAGCTCTTAAAAAACAACAACTATATTGAGGTAAAATTAATATACAGTAAGTGGCATATATTTAAATTGTACAGTTTGATTGATTTGGGCTTACGTGACCAGTGACACCACCACCACAAGTGAGATAATAAATGTATGTAACACCTCCAGAAGTTTCCTCGTGCCCATCATGCTCCCTGGTCTCCACCCCAACATACTTTTCCAAGGAAAACACTAGTATGATTTCTGTTCCTACACATTAGTTTGTGTCTTCTAAAATTTTATAAAAATGAAATCATACCTTATGTGTATCTTTTTATCTGGCTCAATTACTTTGAGATTCACATATTAATAGTTCATTCTTTCTTATTCTGAGTAGCATTCTATTGTATGGACATACTATAGTCTACCTGTTTATCTGCTGATGGACATGTGCGTTGTTTCTAGTTTTTAACTGTTACACATGACGCTGCTGCATATATTAATATGTATTTTTAAATATACATGATTTCTGTTCTTTTGGGAAAATGCCTAGGAGTGGAATGGCTGGATCGTATGGTCGGTATATGTGTAATTTTTTAAGAAACTGCCAACCTATTTTCCAAAGCAGTTGTATCATTTATTTTAGTATTCCCACTCAGCAGTGTATGAGAGTTCCATTCCTCCACATTCTCACCAACACTTGGTGTGATCAGTCTTTTTAATTGTAGCTATTCTAATACACAGGTACTAGTATGTCATCATAGTTTTAATTTGTGTTTCCGTAATGACTAAGATGTTGCTCATCTTTTTATGTGCTTATTTGCTTCTATGTATCAACTGTGGTAAAACTGTTCAAATATTTTGTTCATTTTAAAAATTAGGTTGTTTCCTTATTATTGAGTTTTGAGATTTCAATATATATTCGGGATGCTTGTCCTTATAGGATGTATGACTTGCAAATATTTTCTCCCAGGCTGTGGCTTGTCTTTTCATCTTTAACAGTGTCTTTTAAACAGCAGAAGTTTTTAATTTTTATAAAGTCCAATTTATTGTTTGCAATTTTATGGATGCTTTTGCTATACTATCCCAGAATCTTTGCCTAAACCAAGACCATAAAAGTTTCTCTTGGGCTTCCCTGGTGGCGCAGTGGTTGGGAGTCTGCCTGCCGATGCAGGGGACACGGGTTCGTGCCCTGGTCTGGGAAGATCCCACATGCCACGGAGCGACTAGGCCCGTGAGCCATGGCCACTGAGCCTGTGCGTCCGGAGCCTGTGCTCCGCAACGGGAGAAGCCACAACAGTGAGAGGCCCGCGTACCGCAAAAAAAAAAAAAAATGTTTCTCTTAATTTTTTTTTCTAGAAGTACTTATAGTTTTAGGTTTCACATAATGATATATAATTTGCCTTGAGCTAATTTTGTATAAGCATGAGGTATGGATGGATGTTCGTTTTTTGCTTATTGATAGCCAACTATTCCAGCACTATTCGTTGAAGAGATGACCCCGTCTCCACTGAATTACCACTGCATCTTTGTCAAAAAAAACTTCTTCCTCTTTTTGCCTTCTTTTAGGTTATATTTTATAATTCCATTTCATCTCCTTTGTTGGTTTGTTTATTATTTATAACTTTTGGTTTTTTAGTGGTTGATTTAGTGTTCACAGTAAATATCTTTAACACGTCACAATCTGCTTGGCAAGTGATAGTTACCACTTTAAGTATAAGACTCACAATAACATTACTTTTATTTCTCTCTTCTAACCTTTGTACCGTTCTTGTCAGACATTTTACTTTTACAGAAACGCCACACTACACTGTTATTTTTTTGTCTAAACAGTGAATTATGTTTTAAAAGATTTGAATAATATGAAAAAAATCGATCTACTTATTCTTGTAGTTACCATTCCCACTGTCCTTCATTCCTTTGCGTAGATCTAGGTTGACATCTGATATAATTCTCCTTCTACCTGAAGGACTTCCTTTAACATATCTGTAGTGCAATTTTGTGTGTCTGAAAAAAGTCTTCATTTTGCTTTTTTTTTTTTTTTCTTTTTTGTAATACATGGGCCACTCCCTGTTGTGGCCTCTCCCGTTGCGGAGCACAGGCTCCAGATGCGCAGGCTCAGCGGCCATGGCTTACAGGCCCAGCCGCTCCGCGGCATGTGGGATCTTCCCAGACTGGGGCACGAACCCATGTCCCCTGCATCGGCAGGTGGACTCTCAACCACTGTGCCACCAGGGAAGCCCGCTTTTTTTTTTTTTTTTAACATTTTTGCTGGGTATAAATTTCTAGGTGAGCAGACTTTTTTCTTTCTGCACTTTTAGAAATGTTGCTCCACTGTCTCCTCATTTACTTTGTTTCTGACAAGAAATCTGCTGTCATCCTTATCTTATCTACTATGTCTTTAATTCCCTGGTTGCTTTCAATATTTTCTACACTGGTTTTGAGCAATTTGATTATGATGTGCCTTGGTGTTATTTCTTAATGCTTCTTGAGCTTCAGTTTGTTGGCCCTCTTTGGATTGTGTGTTTTTAGTTGTCATTAAATTTGGAAAATTTTTGAACATTATTTCTTCAAATATAGTTCTTCCTTCATCTCCCCATCCACCTTTGAGGGGCTCCAGTTCTCCAGTTACACATATATTAGACTATATTAGTTATATATATTAGACTATATTATATTAGACTATATTATATTATTATTAGACTATATTAGTTTCCCCACAACTCACTGATAC